ATAATCCTCATCGCTAGCCCAAGCTCACGAGGTTCATGGAAGTCCATAAACCACAGATATAAGCCAATAAGAAAGTATTACTAGGCTAGTCCGTCCCATACCAGGTCATGTGGTCGACACGATCGCTACAATGCTTGCATACCGTATAACAAAACCTTATGATGATCAATATATGCAACTGAAACCCCATGACAATGGAAAGTTCGGAATGCACCCATAATATAACCGGCTGCTCCACTAGTCAATCAAATCCATCAACATATTTATTTTAATTTCCTAAAGTACAATTTAATGCAAGGTTATACATATAAATTGAAATTACGAAAATATAACAATAGATGGTCAAAAGTGTTGTACTTGCTTGAGATACCCGCAATCGAAGAACGAATACATCAACGGAGAACTCCAAAAAAATCCAAGATAAATGACCAACTGAAAGAAATAATAAAATACTACTAAATATGATAATGGCTATATGAATATGATGCATATGCAGGGTTGTGAACTTGTTTTTATTACCTTTGTATAGGTGAAGTCAGATGTATTTTTGATTTGTCTGTGTAAGTAAATTTTAATTGTAAACTATAAAAATAGGTTTCCAAAACACATATTACACTCTTATTTTAAGAAAGAGTAATTATTTACTTAGAAAAAAAATTATTCAATAGCCTCTAAATGTATTGCTTTCAATAGAATATACATTTTGGTTTGTTTGAAAAAAATAATTTATAAGGTATATTTTGAAGGAATATTTTTATTTCAATTATGATATAAAAAGTTAAGTTGTATTTGTATTGACCTAAAGAAAATGTACACTTCAAATTAATTTTAAAAATCAGATGGACTGAATAATACTAAGTAACTACACCAGTACATCAGAATTTGCAAGAAATAGTTTTGAAGAGTTTAAACTAATTTACATATGTCCCAATTCTCATACGTTCTTTTGTATTATAAAGGAATAAGTTCACTTTGACTCCTTTAATTAGTGGCCGAATCTGATTCATACCCTGAACCATAATACCGGATATCTCGACCCCTCAACTATTAAAACCGGTGCAATTTAACTCCTTCGGTGGTTTTGGAGGGCGGTTTTGCTGATGTGGTGCCTACATGGCGGTGTTGACCTGGTATTTGTCCCATGTCAATGGGTCCCACAAATATTTTTGGGTGAATGATAAATGGGTCATATATATATAATGCCACGTGGAACAAAGACTAGGTCAACACCGCTATGTAGGTGCCACGTCAGCGAAACCGTCCTTCAAAACTGTCGAGGAAGTCAAATTGCACTGATTTTAATAGTTGAGGGGCCAAGATATCCGGTATTGTGGCTTAGGGATACGAATCATATTTGGCTACTAGAAGGGAGTCAAAGTGAACTTATTCCTATTCTAAATAATTCTGCATTTAATTTCTTGGGCTAGCCCATCTAGCAAAGTCTCCAAAACTCGAAAGGAATAAGTTCACTTTGGGTCCCTCTATTTGTCGCCTAGTCTGATTTCCGTCCCTTGATCGTAAAACCGGGTACAACAGGTCCCCCAACTTACGAAACCGTTTAAATAAGGTCCCTCGGCAGTATTTGACTCCGGTTTTGGCTGAGGTGGCGCCTACGTGGCTAATTGACTCGGTCTTCATCTGACGTGGCATTGACGTGACGCTTACGTGGCAATTCGATCCGAAAAATAATAAAAATTATGGGACCCACATGTTAGTTTCACACACACAATAATTTAAAAAATGGTGGGGCCCACGTGGACCCCACCTGTCATCCTCACTCAGCCTGCAAAGGGGGCAGATCGGGCCGACCCATCCCCTATACCCTCTGACCCTATCTATCTTGGTGCCTGGACTCGCCCCGTCTCTGGTGGAAGTGGAGCCGGCCCGTTAGGTTCGTGGCCGACCCACCATAGCCGCGGGCTGGATGCACTGAGCGTCTGAGCCACCGTGTCCAGTGAATGGTTGACTGGCTGTGTTAATGTGTTATCATTGAACCATTAAAGCAAGTAGCTATACGTCAATTCAATTATACAAGATTAAAAAATGAACAATCATTTTATATTAAACTGATATCATTTCTTTACTATACTAATTTTATATAAGTCAGATATCAAGTGAAATAAGGAAAAAAAACACATACACTGGCATTATATCTGAACACATACTAACATACTAGAAATTTCGATTGTGCGAAGCAAATCAACATCACTACAGCAAAATAAATAAATAATCAAAAACGATACCAGAACACACTGTATACCCAATGCAAACATTCCGAAATGACTTAATCTTTTGCATTCAAAAGTACAAACATCAATCACTGGGTACTAGCACCTAGTTCAATTAAAACTAAGTACATGCATATACTTATATCATTCACAAAAATCGATCTGAACAACCCAAATATCCGGTTCATTAGATTGAGATCAAACAAAATGAAGCCTTCCAAGATCAAAGTGGGCATCATTTGGCATTCCCTAGCTTGCACTGTTCGTTGAATCACCCAGGTCCAGATTCTGCAGGTTAACATGATGGAGAGATCGAATGATCATGGTATAATGACAGGAAGAAAATATACAATAATTGTTTTAAAAAGGTAATAACCTGCAATATCTCTCAGAAAAAGAAATGGTGCATTTATGTTTTATGGGCAACAACTGAATCAAGACATGAGCATATGCAGACAGACAGAGGAATCAAGGCAGTAGGTGTTCTAAGCATTTGAGTATTTGACATATAAAACATGCTTGAAAAACAGAAGTAATCTGCAGTCACCCAATAGTATTCACAATCAGAGATTAAGGAATACAAGAATCATCTAACAGGTGCTACACAAATTTGCAGATTTTACTAATTTTCTTCATTTATCTAGCAGAAAGTTTCAATTACTGCTAATTTAAAGTTTCCTACTGCCTTGTGTTAAATAGATGGTCTTTTACTTTGTCTCTGTACATACAAATCAAACCAAAACCGAGCAAGACAGATGAACAAGACAGGGTTCATGGAGGAAATCATACCTGTGCTCACGAGGGAGAGAAACCCAGCTGGACGAAGGTGGCGATGTGGCCGGGTGTCCTCCGAAACCCTCGCCGTTGCTGCCGGTGGAGTGTCCTCCGTAGCACCTCGCCGGTTGGCCACCAAGCAGGTAGCCGCCACCCGCCGGTGCCTCCATCCGCCGCCGAAAGAAGGAACTGCATAGAAGAGGAACCAAAGAATCAAGAACCAAAGAAAAGAAAGAGAAAATCAAGAACCAAAGAAAAGAAAGAGAAAATCAAGAACCAAAGAATCCGTTGCTAGTTGCTACGATGGGAACCACAGTACGTCTTGGGGGGAGTTGGAGACGGGAGGAGGACTGAAAGAGCACGCCCAGCCGCCGCCGCCTCAAAACACGGTGGAGCACACCGCGAAGTCGAAGCTGCCACCGCTGCTGCCGCCGCCTCCGCCTCCGTCGGGAGCCGCTGCCGCCACCTCGATCCGTGATGGAGCTGCGCCGCCACCGCTGCCGCCTCCGCCGGGAGCCACCGCCGCCGGCTCGATCCGTGGTGAAGCCGCACCGCCTCAGGCCGGGACCCGTAAAGCCGCCGCCGCCGCCATGCGAACGCGAGCAAGCGGAGCGCTCGAACAAGGCTGACCCAAAAACCCCTAGGGTCAACTGACTCCTGGACCCATTGTCACCTAAGAAAATATGGGCCGGCCCGAAAACCTATTGGTGCCACAAATTTAGGTTCGGGCCACGGACCTAATGGGTCGACCCGCCCCACTTGCAGGCTGAATCCTCACTGCCCCTCTTTCGCTATTCTTTTTTCTCTCTCTCTATCCTCTCTCCTTCCTTCTCCTCCGTTGCGTCGCCGCCTTCTTCGACGCCGCTATCCGTGTCGCCGCCGCCGACCACCCAGACACCCTCCGCACGTGCCGGGATGATGGTCTGCACGAAGCAAGGCGACGAGGCCGAAGATGGCGAGCATCTTGGCGAGCAGCGCCTCGGGCCTCCCCATGGCGGCCTGCACGAATGCCACCGCCGCGGTGCTGTTCGACGACGCGGCATCCCTCCACCCCGCCGCGGCGTCCGCCGCCGCCGCGACGGCGTCCCCGGCGGCGGCGAAGGCGGCTGCCACGGCCCCCTCGACGGCAGCTCTGATGGCGCGGAGGAGGAGGTAGCCGAGGTAGCCCAGGAGCTGGACCAGCCTGAGCAGGAGCACGACGGCCATGGCGGCGCCCTTGAACACCACCGCGGAGGAGCAGGTCATCGTCGTGCTCAGCCCGGTGATGAACAGCTTCGCCATGGCCATTGCCATCGATCGCCTCTTGTCTTTCTTTTGCCTGAACACGACGTGTTCTTGAGATTTCTTGATGAAAATTTGTCGAACACAAAATGTACGTTCTTGAGATTGAGCAGGGAGAAGAGATCAAAGAGGAAGGGATAAGAATTTGTTTAGTCGATTGGTTGTGCCAGGGAGCTCGCCTAGCCGTCCGCCGCCCTTCTAGCTCGCCGGCGGGAGAGGAGGGAGCTTGACATGGTTCGAGCGCGGCGTAGGCGGCGGGAGGACAACGAGCGCGGTGTAGAGGCGCTCGGCGATGCCGTCCCGACGTGGCGGCGGCACGGATGGTCCGGTGGTCAGCGGAGGTCGGCAGCGGAGGTCCCGGCGCGCGCGGAGGTCGGCGGCGGCGACACGGATGGTCCGGTGGTCGGCGGCGGTGACACGGATGGCAGCGTCGATGGCGCCTTCCAGGGCGCTACCGCGCTGCTCGCCTTCACGCTGACCGGTGGCGCTCCGGTCGGGGGGCGGCTCCGACCACGCCCGCCGCCACCGCCGCCGAAGCTCGCCTGCTCCGCTGCCCACCCGCGCCGTCCTCTGCCGGGGAAGAAGAGAGAGGGGTGAAAGGGAAGAAGAGATAGAAGGGAGAGGGAAGAAGAGAGGAGTGAGGCTGACATGTGGGGCCCACATGGCCCCACCATTTTAAAATTATTTCTTTTTGCAGCTGACATGTGGGGCCACACTTTTTATTATTTTGCTGAGATATAATTGTCACGTAAGCGCCCCGTCAATGCCACGTGGGACGGAGACCTAGTCAAACAAGCCACGTATGAGCCATGTCAGCCAAAACAGACTTCAAAACTGCTGAGGGACCACGTTTGCCTGGTTTTTATAAGTTGGGGGACATGTCATACCCGGTTTTGCAGTTATTTGCCACTTTTGTGACATGACAATTAACGATTTGCCACACTGTATCTATGACATATGGGCCCTCATGTGTCTATAACATGTGGGCCTAGTGGTAAATCGTTAAGCACCGATCGTAAGAGTGGCAAATAGTTAAAAGACCCGACAAATAAGGGACAAATAGGGGAAGGTACCTATAGTGAACTTATTCCAACTCGAAAAGCCCATCCTTCTGTCCAGACTCCAGCGCCGCCGCTTTCCGGCAGCGCCGACAACGCCGCCGCTCTCCCAAGCGCCGGCTGCCGCGCCCCACTCCGGCGACCCCCCCCCCCCCAACAACCACCCCGCAGTCGCCGCCACCCAGAATTGGTCCCGCAGCTCCCCGCGAATCCGGTCCCAAGCTAACCCTAGCCGCTGGCCTCCTCCTCTGCTGCTGCTGCTGCTGCGACTCCCTACCGCCGCCGAGATGGCCGGTGCTGAGCACCGCGCAACTCCTGTGGCGTACGGTTGGTTATCTATTCCAGAGGTGAACTTCTTCCCCCTTCCTCTCATGTGCTACGATTTGTGTTCTCTTCTTATGGGTTGATGTTTCTATGAACCAACCGTGATGACTATAGACTGCTCCTGTTGTTCAACTTGATGTGCTCTGCTAATGGTTATTATCTGTTTGTAGTTCTAAGTTTCTAGTTCAATTGAGACTTGCTATGTATGGTTGGATGATGGCTATATGTTATGGTCTTATGGACGAATGAATGAATGCTCACATAGCTAGTAGTAATCCTATGAAATGCACTACTGAAATTGAAAGCACCCTAACATGATTCTGTCCTTATCTTACTTGCGGCATGTATAAGTGATTGGCTATTGGAACTAGTAAACACACTGTACACATCAGCTCCTTATGGAGCTTCACTTTAGCATTGCATCAATTCGCATGGCTGGATCCTTTTGTCAATCAGGAAAAGAAAAACATCTATACTACTCCCCAAAACTTGATCAGTTAACAGATTGCTCTAGATTTTCTACTGAAAAGAAATTCAACCTATAAAATACTACATCCGTCCCAAAATAAGTGCAGCCATGAGTTTCCGCGCCCAACTTTGATCGTTTCTTTTATTTAAAATTTTTTTATAATTAGCATTTTTGTTGTTATAAGATGATAAAACATGGATAGTACTTTACTCGTGACTTATGTCTTTAATTTTTTTCAAAAAAATTTCAAATAAGACGAATGGTCAAAGTTGAGCGCTGAAAACCATGGCTGCACTTATTTTGGGACGGAGGTAGTCATGCTAGAATTGTTTATAATTGAAGGACTTAGATTATTGATTAAATATGGTACTGATTAATGATGTTCTGTGCTGCTAATTATGGCAAAGATTAAACTACTGACTGATTGGAGCTACAGGTTAAAATTTAGTTTTCTGCTGTTATGCATACTACTATAATTTAGTCGAGATATCATGTCATAAGTAAATATATCTACCCTGTCTATTACTCTATATATTCAGAATAATTCTTGTACTGAAGCATACTGCTACATGTTTTACTGGATACTAATCTAAACTACTGATGTCCCTAAGATATGGTATTGTTGAAACTAGAGGCTAATTTGTTAAGGTTATACTAATTCTAACTAATTATGTGTTCAAGATTTATCCTATAGAATTAAACCTTACTGAACCTAATATCAGGGGAACTACATACACCAGTAATCCTCAACCCATCTTAGTGATGAAACAAAAAATATCTTCTACTTGTCATTTAGACCAAAATATATCCTATCTGTTACATAGGCTATTCTACAGTTTAGATTATTAATATAATCCTTTTTGCTGAATCTGAGATATTCTTGTTCAGTTTAAGTTCATATAGATGCATCCACACAACTCCTAATCATAGTAAACCATGTACTTGATGACATGCTTCGAATTTATTTCTTTCTTGATTTATCTGCTTGACAATCTTGCATTTGATTTGTTCTGGTGTTAGTGGTGAGATTTTTTTGATCTGGTGAGCTCTTTTGTGCTTCCCTTGTATTAGTTCTTCTCCTCCATTATTTTTTCTCCTGTCAATTTATTTTCTTTGCTCTGTTTGTTCTGATTTCTGCCATCTTGCTTGAGCTGCTACAGGTAGCTTCTCCTGAAATTGGTTAAAGTGTTTCTTCTCCTCTTGGAGCTTGGTTGGCACCTGGAGTATCAGCCCTTCCTGGAACTGAATCACCTTCCTGATCTGAAGCTCCTTGCTCCACTTATAACTCAGGTATCTATCTCCTGCTTCTCCTTCTACTCCTCTGACCTCTCTCTCTCTCTTTCTCTCTCTCTCTCTTTCTCTCTCTCTGGTTGCCTGACCATGGATGCTATGGTTGAGCTGTGGTGTGTGTGGTGTGTTTGAGGTGTAGAACTTTTGGTTGGTTATCTCTCTTTCTCCTCAATCTCCACTTATTTCTAGCCGAGGCTGCTTGCTGTTGTTGGGAACCTACTACTGCTACCGCTGCCGATCTTCATGTCTTGAAGGCAGATGGTACTACTACCGCTGTTGCTTGTGTTGGTTTCTAAGACCAAATGACTTGGTCTGGGTTGGGAGGAATGGATTCACATCGATATGGTTGTCTTGCTGAGATTTAAGTAGTGACTCACCTGTTTGAGTTTTGGTGGTTTCATGCATGCTCGGTGGGATGATGGAGAGAATTCTACTCCCTCCGTTTCGTTTTATTTGACACCGTTGACTTTTTAGCACATGTTTGACCGTTCGTCTTATTCAAAAACTTTTGTAAAATATGTAAAACTATACGTGTGCATAAAAGAATATTTAACAATGAATCAAATGATAGGAAAAAAATTAATAATTATTTAAATTTTTTGAATAAGATGAGCGGTCAAACATGTGCTAAAAAGTCAACGGTGTCAAATAAAACGAAACGGAGGGAGTACTAATTTTCAATTTGAATGGAAATCTGGTAAAGTCTGACATGTTTGGTACTTCTGCACCTGAGTCCATCAAGTCTAGCAAATTTGGAGGTTATCCTTAGTTTAGGGATCGATTAGTAATTACCCTAAAACTTAGGGGATTTTATATGAAACTTACAGTCTTTGGGAATTCATGGAGATGGCTCAACTACTGCTTTTGTGCCCTGAATATTTTGGTTGCAAAATCTGTAGCTTGTAGCAACACATAAATTTTCTTTGTTGCCTATTTTATAAAAACTTCAAACCTCCTCAATTGAAAATTGTGTGGTCTAAGATCACACAAATATCTTCTAATGAATTTAATTTCTTCTTTCAACTTCTATGCAGAGAGTGTGAGTTTGATTAATGTTGTATAGAAATACAGTGTATAGGTGCAACATATGAGGCAGCACGCCGCGCAGCAAACATGCCTTAAACAAATTCCATTAAATGTAAATTAGCTATTACTATTAAATAAGGATATGCTATAGACAATATATATTCTAAATTAAGTGGTCAAGGACCAATTATGAAGGATGTGTTACATAGAACACATGCATAGAATTTTGTAGAGAATAGAAGTTAAAACATGATGAAGAATTTGGGGATAAAAACTTATACCACAAGATGTGGAATCTAACATTTTAGACCTAGCATTATGTAACAAAATTGAATCTTCTCTTAACTATGAACTTAAATTCCTGGCAGAAAATAGCAAAATACGCTTTCATCACTGAAGGTCCGTCGCGAAGGGATGCAGCAGGATACGGATGGATTGACGGCCCATACTGATTATATTCAAGTGTAAATTTCCCTGAATAAAACCGTAACAGAAGTCGAGGACGATGGACGACGACCTGACAAAAAACTCTGCTGAATATGACAGCTTCATTCATCCTGCAGATCAAAAGAGCGGGTTTCGTCAAATAATTAGAAATATACTGTTAAATAGTACTATCAATGTTGTCTCGCAGCAACAAACTGTGAAACGAAAGGCAACAGAACTAGCCTGGAGTGAACTTCTATGATCTCAATCTCCATTAATCAAGGCCTTTGATTTTTGCAGCCTGGAGTGAACTTCTATGCTGTATGAGTTTATGGCTTGCTAATTAACGCAATTTCTGCAAAACAAATAAAAGTTAACATTTTTGAAAGCATCGACTCTAGTTCACTTGAACGGAATACCTCCTGAAATCATGAAAAATTGGTGCTGAATAAAAAAAAAAAGACAAAAGAAACCGTCCCTTCCCATTTGAGCTGGTAGACGGCCGGTCACTAAACGTTTTCTTTATTTTACAGTATTGAATGACAATTAGTTCGAAACCAGAACATACTAATGACATATCAGAAGGAAAAAAAAAGATTTGGAAGGCAGCATATGTGATAAATATAGGCTTTTCTGCATGGAAGAATCCTGGAAAACAACGCAAAACAAGATAAATTCTGTACTATGAAATGAAGATGATGTGAAAGAGTGGGCACATACGATTTGTTTGACATGAGCAAGCGTCTTCTTGTTATCCTCTAATTCGCACCACTCCCTTAATTCACGGCAGTGAAAAATTAACATATATTCGAGCATGGTGAGTTTTTTTATGCCCTCAGGCAAAGACTTGATTTCATAACAACCCTTGATCTCAAGTCTCTTGAGAGAGGTGAGGCGTCCCATGCAATCTCCCAAATCATTCAGGTTTGGACAATCTGAGATGCTCAATTCCTGGAGAGAGACGAGGTCTCCCACCCACAGCGGTAATGATGTCAAGCTATCACAACGGGAAAGACTTAGTTTATGTAGCGAAGTGAGACGCGTGATGTTCTCATGTGTTGCTTTCACCTCAAAGAACTTTATCTTCAATTCCTTGAGAGACCTGAGATGACCCAACCAATCTGGCAGTTGTGGCTGATGGCTATAGATGCCTTCCAGAGCCAGTGATTGGAGGGTGGAGAGGGCTCCAATAATCTCTGCTGAGATCGTAGGATCACCGAAATACTGGATCTTTAAATAATTGAGGGCAGGGAGGTGATGAAGCAACCTCCACTCACGCAGAGGAGAATCGCATTGTTGGACCACTAAAGAAGATACCAGAGGAGTGGAGCAGGATGTACTAGTGTGTGGTGCATTTCCTGCCCATGAGGATATGATGCCATCACTTCTCACAATAGTCCACTTCTTAGCTCTAGGCGGACATGGTGTAAGCTGCAGTTTGGGGCAATTGGAGATTTCCAATTCACAAAGGTTAGGAAACATAAACTCGCTCACACTATCCTCATCGCAAGAGTACATTGTGTTCCACACTTCTAGGCTTGGCATGCCTTCTATGGTAAACTTCTTCAGTCGAGGAAATGGCCCTGGGCCGCCACAAAAATCCTCATCGATTTTCACCACGCTCTTCATTCTTTCAAGACACAACTCTTCCAGATTAGGTAATTGGCCAAGTGGTGGTAGCCTGACGCACTTGGGCATTTGTGCCATGGTAATTTGAATAAGATTAGGGAGATAAAGGGAAATGTCCATTAACCAGGATGGATATTTGGTGTCTTTATAACCTTCCATCCGAAACTTCTTTAGAGATCTTGGAGGAACTAGCTCACGCAACAAATCTATGTCCTCCATAGACCTCTTAACATGTTGAGTCCAATGCAATTCCAACTCTTTGATTCTTTGCTTTTCAATCAGTTCTATCTTCTGGACCTCTTTGACCGACCTCACATTTTCAAGACATCTTATCTGCAAGTTAGGAGGATTCACATCATTAAGCAGAACAAGGTTGCTAGAAGATCCATCATCATTAGGTTGCACCACAAAGCGTGGTAATGTGAGTAAATTTTTGTTCCATTGTGGCACCTTGGACAGGTCACTACCATTCAGATTAACAAACTTCAGGCTGTCAGCTTTACCTATACTTGCTGGTAAACTACTCAAAAGTGGGCAATCCGAGAGGTCAAGTGTATGTAGCTTTTTGAGTGTATCAAAACAGTCAGGTAAGACGACGCCATTAAGATATATGTTCTTCGACAAGACCAAATGCTCTAGGTTGTTCAGACAACCGAGGAAACTGATATCTATTGAAGAACCCAAGTAATTCAGCGAGCCTGACAAGTTCAAATACTTGAGATTGATTAAGCTGTTCAAACCTTGAGCTAGCCTTTCCGTATAAAAGTGTTCTGTAGACAGATTCAAGTATTCAAGTTTGGTGAGGGTACCCAAAACTTCTGTTTCTAACCTCCCTTTCATATAGGAGCAACTTGATAAGTTCAAATATACCAGTTTCGAGAGGTTACCCATAACTTCAGGTAGTTGTCCAATATTCCGGCAGTATGATAAATTCAAATATTTGAGATTGATGAGACTCTCCAAGGATTCTGATACACCAGTAACATTAGAACAATTTGATAAATCCAGATGAATCAATTTTTTTAGTTTGCCAAATGACTCTGGCAGTTCTTTCAATCCAGAACAACCTGACAAGTCAATGTACATCAGACTCTCCATTTCTCCAATTGACTTTGGCAGTGTCAAGATTGCCGAAGACCCAGAAATGCTGAGGAAAATTAATTTTGAGAGCTTAGTTATACAATTAGGGATCATTTTATCCTTGATCCCAAGAGCTTTAAGATATCTCAATTGCTTCAAGTGACCAATGGAATCTGGCAACTTCTGTATGGAGCACCCGCTTAAATCCAAGACGCGCATGTATTTAGCAGATGAAAAAGAAGCATCTCGGAGCACATTTTCTTCATTTTCCAGATAACGCACCGCCCTTACCTGGGTAGGAGAATGAGTGAGTGAATTCAATGGCTTGGTACAATCATTGAGCAGCGCAAAGCGGCATCTGCACCTCCCAGTAATATTGCCTTGTTTGCTAGCATCTAAAATTTCGTCGACCATGACATATCTTGCTAAGTCATGCACCAGGTCATGCATGGTCAGCAATGTAACATCCTCTTGATGCACTTGAACAATCTGCAACAGAAGAACTTGTCAGAATCAGGTTTTGGTATTCCAGATTTTTTTTAAAAAAAGTCAAAATATTGCAGGGCTGACAAAGCTAACGATTTTACATACTCTCTCCGTTTCATATTATAAATTGCTTTGACCTTTTTTTTTTTTGTCAATTTTCATTGGTTTGACCAAGTTTATAAAAAATCTAGCAACATCTATAATGCCAAATTAATTTCATTAAATATATAACATTAAATATATTTTGATAATATATATTTTTTTCAAAATGCTGCTATAATTTTCTATAAGTTTAATCAAATTTAAATTTTTTTGACTAAAATAGTGAAAACGACTTAGGTGGTGTTTAGATCCAGGGACTTAACTTTAGTCCCTGTCTTTAGACACTAATTTAGAGTATTAAATATAGACTACTTACAAAACTAATTACATAAATAAAAGCTAATTCACGAGACAAATTTTTTAAGCCTAATTAATCTATAATTAGAGAATGTTTACTGTAGCATCACATAGGCTAATCATGGATTAATTAGGCTCATTAGATTCGTCTCGCAAATTAGTCCAAGATTATGGATGGGTTTTATTAATAGTCTACGTTTAATATTTATAATTAATTTTTAAACATCCGATGTGATAGGGACTTAAAAGTTTTAGTCCCATCTAAACAGGGCCTTAGAATATGCAACAAAGGGAGTACATTGCAATTTAATCCATTAGGTCTAGGTCTATTCATTGAGATGTGATTTACTTCGTCCCAAAATATAAAGGATTTTGAGTGGATGACCTATCTGGATTCATACTACTAGAATGTGTCCCATTCAACCAAAATTCCTTATATTTTAGGATGGAGGGAGTATATATTCAAGCAACTCTTCTTTAACTTGTGCTCAACCCAGCCTCAGGCAATATCTAGAGAATAATTCTTAGGTGTGTAAGTTGTCGTTAGAGTCCTTTCGATCCCAAAATAAGCTTGTTTTGGCCTAATAAAATTAAGCTGCCTTACAGTGAAACTTGGTAGCAAGGCATTATATGGGCATATCCTCCCATACCATAATTAATTGGACTAATTCTAACTTACTTGAAATGGTGTAATTTAAAAGTCTCTTCTTCAGATGTGCAGTATTACAAAATTTCAGATATTTTCAGTATTACAAAATCTCACATATTTAAACAAAACATCTGATTTTTTTATTAAATACTTATTAATTTTGAATAATTATGTGCTAAAAAATAAACAACTAGTTTCAAAAGTAATTATAATTTTGTTCATAATTACTGCTTGATATAAATGGTAAAATAAAATTTGAAATGCATAGTTTTCAATAAACTTGTCCTGACTGCACATGAAAATATATATGCACGCATATGTTTGACCATAATATAAAAACTTTTTCTGAGCGTGCATACTAAAACATAGTACAAACGTAGGCGCTCACCACACGCGCACACTAACTCCTATAAACTACTAACTCTGATAAGCCATTTCCATATTAGCATTTGTTCTTAGAAAATAATAGCCCTAACTAAGACATGTCATTGCTCATCAATATATATATATATATATATATATATATATATATATATCTTTGTGCTATGAAACAAATTTTTTTTACATAAATCTATCATATACCGGCAGCCGAACATGCCAACATATTTTCTGTCTTAAAATATAAGGCTTTCTAATGTTTTAAATCTCTCATTTATTTTTACCCAATCTTATCTTAGCTAGCCACTCAACTATAATAAACCCCTCATTTAATGAGGGGGCACATTGTCTTCTCTCTCCATCCTTAATCTCTTAAAAAAAGAACATTTTGGAGGGAGGAAGTAGTATTTCATTAAGATATGTCTTCATGATGGTAGTAATTAAAGACCTCCCAAATGAAATTTAACTTGCGTATTCCTCGATCTGAACATAGGGCATGTTCACTTTGATGCCAAAAAAAACCTTACCAAATTTTGGCAATGCCAAAATTTTAGTAACTATATAAGAAATCTTGCCAAAATTTTGGCAAGTTACCAAAATTTGGCAGCAAACTAAATGTAGCCACTTTTTTGGTAACTTTACCAAAACTTGGTAAGGTTGAAAATGACGTTAAAGTGAACAGGCCCATAGATGTTGGAATATAATGGAAGATTACCTCAAGGATCTTCTTGTGCTATGCGTCCCGATTGATGGAACTCATGGCTATCTTGTGATGGACTAATTCTAACCCTACTGTTGCATATTATAGTGATTCTGTGAAGATGGCTATAATAGAAGTGCATGAATACATGCAGCATATTTGAATAATTTCCCTAGAGTAGGGTCCAAGAAAATGTCAAAAACTGCTTAGCTGTAGAGGTAAGCAATAACTCACCGAAGGTGACTTTGAATATTGAAGGAAGGACATCCCCATAAGATGACAAACATAATTCTCACCATTCTCCCAAATGGAGAATATGCCTTGTTTTTCAACAAAACCAAGAGAAATCCATTGGTAAATCAGATCATCTTTGACTATCTTTTGACCTTTCGCAAATAGTGCACAATAGGCAAAGCATAACCTCAAATATGGAGACATGTTATTGCAGCTTAACATCAAGGATGCCATAACATTGTGATGCTGGTTGGATCTATCTTCCGAATTGTTTTCATTCCAGATATCACTGTTTTTCACTGTGTTCCATCTGTTGACTGTCATGGATCTCAACATGTACCCTAGTGCTTGAGCTGCTAACGCCACACCTCCACACTTCAATGCAATCTCTCTTCCAACCTGCTCCAGCTGATCTTTGTCAGGTCTAGTATCAAACTCAACCTTCTGTTTGATTATTGTCCAGCACATATCATCAGTCAAGGGTGGAAGCTCGAACGGCGCAACAGTACAAAACTTGTTTGCAATTTCTTTCTCACGGGTGGTTACAACGACAATCACCTTACTGCCAATGCCAACATCATTTACCAATATAGCCCTCAACCTGTCTAATTCAGATTGATCAATCTCCCACAGGTCATCTAAAACAACCATAATTTTCTTGTCACCAAATGGCTCTGCAGGGTTCGTCTGATTACTCAATTGACTCTCCTCTTTTGATAGTTTTGACATTATAGAACTGCGAATTTTATTTAAGTCAAATGCCTGGGACACATAGACCCATACTTTTGAATAATCATTGAGTCGGGTATCATTGAAAACCATTTTCGCAAAGGTTGTCTTGCCTATACCTCCAATGCCATATATAGGAAGTATTATTATCTTGTCCTTGATATTGTCAAACAAACAAGACAATATAAAATTCTTCTGTTCAGTACGCCCTACGATGAATGCTTCGTACTCCTTGGGTGATGTTTCCCGTTTATCTGGAACATGCTGCTCACTGAAGGTAGAGCCTTGCTTGAATCCAAAATTATGATACTGATCTGTAATATCCTTCAGTTCTAGTCTCAACTCCTTCATCTTATGAACCATGGTAAACTTGGTAATTTTGGGGTGATGGAAGAGCTTACGTGACAGCTGCAAAAAAAATCCATTAATTTATTACTTAGAGTTAAATAGGGAGGAACTACAACACGGCATACCATTGCTTTGGTTTAGCGAAAATGCTATTTGGCGGACTGTGATATCAACACACGCTCCTTCCCCCGGTCTTTTAGTTGCAATTTCCCTTTTAGTAGCAATTTCCCTTTCATTTACAGATGAAAGTTTGAGACATTGAATTGATTATTTTTTTATAATTCAGATAAAAGTTTGAGGCTACATTTGATAATGATTTTTTAGTTAACTGTTGTATGATTGAGTATAGAGTTTTTGATTTTTTTTAATGAAAGTTTTAGATTTTGAATTGAGATTATTTTAATTCATGATGAAAGTTTGAGGTCAAAATTGAAAGTTTGTAGAGTTTAAAGTTGTATGATTGGAGTTGAAAGTTTTGCATGAAAACACTACTAAAAGAGGGAAAAAAAGGGGAAGGAGTATGGGCGGCAAAGACACCTACGCTAGGTTTTCAACAATCCGCTTGGTTTAATTAGGTATCACACTTACTTGAAAAAAAAAGGGTTTCACTCCTATTTCACGCAAGTGTCATAACTTTAATTCATGTGTATCACCTATGGTATCGTGAACTATCATGGTGTTTCCCCATGAAATTTCATGGTTTTACCTGGTAATATCATTGTTTTATGCATATATTATCTGTATCATCAATGTTTTAAAGAAGAGTCATTAGTATTCATCAAATGTCTTATGGAGGTTTCAAGCACTTTAGATAAGTGTTGTAACATATGAAGAAATTAAAATCTTTGAAATTAATTATTATAAAACTGTTAAAAGTACATATATGATGTTCTTTCCTTTGTGATTTTTGTGAAATAAAAAAAAAATTGAGAACAAGTTAAACTCACCCAAATTAAAACAAGTGCACATACATAGGCACCTACGCTTGTGACACTGATAACTTTATAAAACACTAGAATAATGACAGAGACCAGATATAAGTTCTAAATAATTTGTAGAGAATGTTATGCCACTAGCGATCGCCAACAACATTCAAAGGCTAAACACGACCAATTTACTACTACCCATAATCGATGTATTAATGGACCAAATACGATAGTTAATCTATCTATGATATTATTAAAACAATTTTGAAAGAAGATATCACGTTCACTCTGTAAGCTAGAAAATCCCATATTAATCGGAGACAAAGAAAAAAAAGAAATTTCAAATAAGAATATAATTTAAAAATAAACTGAAATTCAGAATAAAAATAAGGAATATTGGAAAAAAAGTCCATCTAGGACACACCACAATATTAATTAAATTTGGAATAAAAATAAAATAAATTTAGAAATTGGATTTTCAATATGAATTGTAGATTAATTAGTAGAGTTGTATGTAAAATACAAATCATTTGTGTGGAAATAGAAGTTAATTAAAAGATAGGAGATTTAATGAAAATTATTCCGAATAGAGCCACGATAGTGGACACCAAAAAACAAAGTAAATTCCTGAATCAAACCACATGGATTGGCAAGTAGGAATCCCAGTTGGACTTTACTATGCATGTATATGTTTCCTTTCTTTCTCTCTCATTAGAATATTAACAAAGGCCTTGTTTAGATCCCAAAAATTTTTGGCCAAAAACGTTACATCAAATGTTTGGACACATGCATGGGGCATTAAAGGTGGGGAAAAAAACCAATTGCACAGTTTGTATGTAAATTGCGAGACGAATCTTTTGAGCCTAATTACGCCATGATTTGACAATGTGATGCTACAACAAATATTTGCTAATGATGGATTAATTAAGCTTAATAAATTTGTCGCGCAGTTTACAAGCGGAATCTGTAATTTGTTTTGTTATTAGTCTACGTTTAATATTTCAAATGTGTGCCTGTATACTTCAAAAACTTTACACCCAAAATAAAAAAAATTTCTTGCCACGGTAGAAAAGCTGATTGGTCTGTTATTCGGACCATATAACTATTGCTCGGATTCCAATCAGGATACCGTGCCACGGGACTTTTCCTAGCAACCTAGGAGAAAGGTTCGCCGAACTTTAGAAAGGTTTCCATGTAGTAGTCCTATTGATGCCGCAGGTGATAATGAAGAAGAGGGGTGGCAGGCAGGTGACCATATTGGCGACAAAGGAGATAGAAAGGCAATTCCCGCTGGAGGGTGTGCCGAGGGGTGGTAAAGTATTAAGTGGCATTGATGGATGGTCGGACTTGTAAAAACTATAAAAACAGAAGCCCCTGCCCCCAACAATAATGTTTAATTTTGTAAGAAGAAGAGTAACTAGATATAGATTAGTGCAGGGGGTGCCAAAGGGTAGGGACATGGTGGCTAGCTCCGAGGGATGAGGGATGACAAAAGAGTAAGGTTGAACTGGTGGCTCAAGTGAATTTTAAAAGATATAAAGATTGAGTTATAAAAACTATAAATATAAAATATGATGATACGGTTTGATTTTTAATGTGCCAATAACAATAAAGTGGAGGGGCAGTGGACGGGCGAGCGGGACCCCAACAATGACAAGGTTCAATTTTCAGTTGTGAATGACAAGGAAGAGGAGAAGCAACTGATGGGCGAGCAAAGAGTGGGAAGCATGGTAGAGGTGGCAGCCGGCGAGACATGCACAAACTATCAAAAAGGAACCCAACAATAACATGGATAGTGTTTCGAAGGTCTCGACGACAATAAAGGGAAGAGAAGAGAGACAAATGAGCAGAGGGCCTGTGAATGGTGGGACTTTAAAAAAACTAAAACAAAATATCATGATGATAAGGTTCTACTCCCTCCGTTTCAAAATGTTTGACACTGTTGACTTTTTAGTACATGTTTGACTGTTCGTCTTATTAAAAAAATTTGTGAAATATGTAAAACTATATGTGTACATGAAAGTATATTTAACAATGAATCAAATGATATGAAAAAAATAAATAATTATTTAAATTTTTTGAATAAGACGAATGGTCAAACACGTACTAAAAAGTCAACGGTGTCAAACATTTTGAAACGGAGGGAGTATTTTTTAAGGTGATGATGGCAATAAAGGGGAGAACATCGATGATAGGTGGATGAGCGGAGGGGTTGGACCGATGGACGAGCAAGGTAAGATTTGCTTCAGATTTGCTTCTTTGGAGTACATATGCATAATGCTTTCAGTAGAATGCGCTCAGAATTGATACAAACATAGGGATGTTGTGAAATTACTTTCCATTAACTAGATTTGGTTTCATGTGCCTGCAAATTTTTTAGCCGTGCAAAGAATTGTGGAGTTCCCAAACAGTCCCCAAATCAAGAGAGGTTAATATATCTCATATGGAGAATTCAGAGGATACTCTTTAAAAAGTGGAACATTAATCCAGAACCACAACTATGTTGGAAGAAAATCAAGACATGATAATCGACACACCTAGATGGATCCAGGGCTCTATTAGCATTAAAGCCAAACAAAAAGAAAGTATGAAGACTTATTGGAGATGTAGCTAGCCTAGGACTAGGAGGAAGGGACAGTTTACCATTCGTGCAGCTGGTGTAGCAGTTTTGGCCTCAAACTCCTCGAGCATGTCGCAGATGTCATAGGAGGCGTTCTTGAGCCGATTCAGCCACAGCTGCACCGTTTTCTCCTTGATGGACCTCTTCTCCGCGTCCTCCATCACCGCTTCGATTGATTCCAGGGTGTTCCTGAAGCACTCCAGGTCCCTCCTGAAGTCCCTGTGCAGCTTGATCTCACCTCCGATGGCGGAACCCAGCTTTCTCGTCGTCTCCTTGATGGCGGCCGAGGCAAGCATCCCTCCAATCGCTGCGGCGGCCATGGCTACTCCTCCTCTTTGCTCTCTTGGTTAATTGTTCTCACCAACTGTAGCCTGGACAGAATCGACCAAGCTTTGAAGAGTATTAGGTGGTGTTTAAATCCAGGGACTAAAGTTAAGTCCCTGGATTTAAACACCACCTAAGTAAAGCTGGTCCAGATTAACCGGAATGTGAAGCACCCGGAAGTGACCTGCAAAGAAGCGATCAATTTCCAAGAAGCTGCCTGCAGCTTCACGCGCGGTCCCTTCTACCAACCACCCAAAGCGAAGATAACAACTATTTCTTCTCTCTATCCGATAAAAAACTACTCCCTCCGTCCCATAATATAAGAGATTTTGAGTTTTTCTCACAATGTTTGACCACTTGTCTTATTCAAATTTTTTTAAAATTATTAATTATTTTATTTGTGACTTACTTTATTATCTACAATAATTTAAGCATAACTTTTCGTTTTTTATATTTACAAAAAAAAATTAAATAAGACGAGTGGTCAAACGTTGCAAACAAAAACTCAAAATCCCTTATATTGTGGGACGGAGGGAGTAATATAGTATTGGATATATGTTGACATATCGCAGTACTACGAATCTGAATGTCTACTAGGTTGAGTTTTTTTGGAGGATTAATTAATTATTATATTTTAAGATGAAGGTAACAATAATAATAGTACAATAGTCAGAAATTGCCGTGCTGGGTGACCAAGAAAGTCCAACAAAACAAATAAAATAAAATAAACTGAGAATGTGAGGATTGAATAAACAGGCGAACGTTCAACTCGAGGCGAGGATAGCAGCACAATGGGACGGATCTAGCGCTTGGTGAGTGGCGCGCAGTGGGAAAGGATCGGAGGAGTGAGGGGTAGGATGTTGGTGACGGCGACGATAGATGTCGGAGAATGAACTCCTCCATCAAAGAATCGTGAGGCCCCCCTTTGTGAGTTCGGCCGGAGGCAGCGGGTGAGATTCGAGGGCTTGGTGAGCGAAGCTGTGTGATCTTGAGGGGGTTTAATCCCCCAAAGACGATGAGACAAAAGGGGTTTATACAGGTTCGGGCCGCTGAGAAGCGTAATACCCTACTCCTGTGTTTGGGATTATGGTTGAGTGTTACAAGGGTTCCTAAACTCCGGAGAGCACTCTCGCTCTTCTTCTCCTAGAGTTCAGGTTTTCTGTCAGTTGTCCTCTTTCCCGGCGGGTAAGGTCCTCCTTTTATATATCAAGGGGTTACCACATAGGCCCAAAAACATAACTTAGTGGAGAAGGATTACAATCTTTGCATTAAATGCATGTCTTGTCTCTTAATTTGGGAAGCAAGCGCACGTCATCTTGATGATGAGGCCTGTCAAATCTTGCCGCCTGACACGGGGAGTGCCCCTGTCAGTCACCATTTAATGGGTGAAGACTTCTGGGCTCCTATTACACCGGAAAACGGGAGCCTTGCTTTGACCAGAGCAGGAGGACCGACTCCTTCTGAGATAAGAGGATGAGGACCTCTCACCATCATTATTTGATGAGACATGTCAGACTGCACGTTGCCTGACACACGAGCAGCGCACAGGCGCACTACCCCAGTCCTATCGGTCATTCGACCGGTCACAGACCGGTTGAGTGCATTGCACACCGCATTAATGTGGCGTGGCGTGACTACTCGGGCCGCCATAAATGCGGGTAGGTGGGCACCTGGAGGCGGACACTTAACCCAACGTACATGGTGACCAGGAGAGGGGGTCGGGGGAGCCCGACCCCAAGTCACGGGAGCGGGCGGCCGCCGCCCGACCTCGGGCCCGATCCCCCCTCGGGGGAGGGCCACGTGGCGCCTGGGGCAGCCTTCTCCCTCTAGTCTCGGCCAGGGAGTGGCCGCCGCCCCACCTCGGGCCTGACTCCCCTCGGGGGAGGGCCACGTGGCATCGGGGGGCAGCCTCCTCCATCCAGTCTCTGGGAAGGAGTGGCCGCCACCCTACCTCGGGCCTGACTCCCCCCCTCGGGGGAGGGCCACGTGGCATCAGGGGCAGCCTCCTCCGACTAGTCTTTGGGAAAGAGTGGCCGCCACCCCACCTCGGGCCTGACTCCCCTTGGGGGAGTGCCACGAGGCATTGGGGGACAGCCTCCTCCGACTAATCTTTGGGAAAGAGTGACCGCCACCCCACCTCGGGCCTGACTCCCCTTAGGGGAGGGCCACGAGGCATTGGGTGGCAGCCTCCTCCCTCTAAACATGATATCCCTGGGCCCATATCACCGACAACAGCGCAGACAAAATCGATGCGTCGGTGGGGGGAATGCTGAGATGCCTGAGCTCGGTACCCACCTTCAGGAGTTGGGCCTGTGCGCGAGCTCGGCGCTGCCATGGAGGGCAGGCACTTAGGCTAAGCTAGCTAGAGGGGCTCACCGGTTTCACCCATCCGCAGAGGAGTGGCTGATGCGCGGTCTCCTGTGTGCTTCAGTGAAATGCCAGGTTCACCCCCTACGGGGCCAGGGCGGTGTGGGGATGCATGAGTCAGCGCCACTGAGGCTAAGGCCGAGCTTAGTCCCCTCCCACTGGGTCAGCCGAATCTGCCCTGTGCTGCCGTGGTTAAGGCCTGGCCGCCTAGGCAAGAGCATCTCCAACAGTTTATCTAAATTAGACTATCCAAATAGCTATATAATCAACTAATCTTGGTAGTCAAACTAAATTCTCACTTCAACAGTAAATATTACCATCTCCAAAATAACATAGGGACCCACATGTCAGCCTCTGCTAGCCCCTTCTTCTTCCTTCTATTTCTTCCTCTCTTCCTCTTCTCTTTTCCTGTTAGGGCAGTGGACGAGCCGGCGACGGGAGGCGGTAGCAAGGAAGCGGGACGGCGTAGCGGCAGCTGCCGGCGGTAGGAATGACCCAACAGAAGGCAGTGGCGCCAAGGACGGCGTCGATAGGGAAGACGGCGGACACGGAGCGGTGAATCAACGCAGGTGGCAGACGTGGGACGGCGAGCGACGATGGTAGGAGAGAGGCTGGCGGCGCCGAACGCAAGGCCAAATCCGCACAGGGGCGGAAGCACCGAAGGCCTCTAGACGACAGCGGCTAGCGACGACGACCTCGGCGAAGACGGTAGCGGATGGCAACCTCGATAGCAGCAACGGATGGAGACGGCTCAGACGACGGCTGGTGACAGCGGTGTCAGGCGATGGCGACCTCGGTAGCAGCATTGGATGGCGATGGCGACCTCGACGATGAAGGTAGTGGTGGCGCTCATGTATTTGGGTTTGGCAACCTGGTTTGGCCAGCCGGATGACTTGGCCATCCGGTTGGCAAGGCTACTGGAGGGCATTTTTTCTATCAAACTAGCCAAATTTTAGCTTGGATAGTCCATTGGAGAGTCTGTTAGAGATGCTCTAAGTGGTGATCTGCATATGATGCAGGAATAAGTTCACTTTACTTTCCTCAACTTAAAGTCCGGTTTGAATTTCATACTTCATCCACAATTCCAGATATAATATGTTGCTCAACTTACAATACCAATATATACTTTATGTCCCAAGACAATATACTCTCAGGTTTTGGCTGACATGGCGGATGAGTCAACGTGGGACCCACATGTCAATGGCTCAAACATTTTCCCCTCTCTCCCTCTCTTCCCATCTCTCTCCAGGCCTCCATGCTCCACGGATATGTTGCGTTTGAGATAATATGGACTTCTCTTGAAAATTGTATTAATTAAGTATAATCTGTCTGGTTATACCTGGTGTAATAATTTACACAAATTACAATATTGCTATTTGTATTTTTAAGATTGAATCGCACAAACTTGCATCACGGTAGATCCTATTGAGTTTCTTTTATGAGTTTTTTTATAGTCCATCAGATTTTTGGTACCTCCCGGTACCTGCAATCAGAGCCATCCATCGAGCCAGATCCAACGGATTAAAATCCTCGTTACTGCGCGGTACCCAAGTCCCCTCGATGGTACCTCCTCCTCCGCCCGTAGAGAAAATTGTGATTTTGCTATCGCAAAAGAATGGTTTCGCTGGAATACTATCCCTTCAAAGTGATTCATTAAAATGCTATCCTAAACTAGGGGTGTTCACTGAAATGCTATTTTGGATCTTTTTGTTAGTACTAATGTTTTTACTCTCTTTTATTTTTTCTCCGGACCAAAATGCCCTCGCCTCTATGTCCTCCTTTCGCCCAGGATAATGGCAGGTTGACACATGCTTTGATTGCTCTAGCAAAATATATTGCTATATATTTGTGAAACCTATGCACGCCTCATGCTCCGCCGCGTGATATGTATATACTAATTGATCATTAACACTAATACAAAAGCTCCAGTACACTGGTTTGAAAGTCAAACAACACCTCTTTGGTTTTGACACATGTTGTGCTAGAGCAATATATTTTGCTTTCACATTTGTACAATAAAAATGGTGTGTAGTCCAGTTCAGCCACAAGCGCGCATACACATCAAGATATAATGGAGAAGCTAGCTTAACCCATAAATTTTGGGCATGAAAAAATTGTAAAAACAAAATAAAACAAATTTGGACAGCATGTAGACATAATATTGAATAGCATGTGGTTCACAAAATACCTCACATAACAATGGTTCACAACATAACAGTGGTCACAATATAACAGTGGTTCACATGCACCATGGTTCACAACATGATAGTGGTTCACATGCACCATGGTTCACAAAAGACCTCAAATATCAGTGCCTCACATGCACCACCAACAAAGGTGGTTCACATACACCAACATGGTTCACATACACCACCATGGTTCACAAAATACCTCTTATAACAGTGCCTCACATGCACAGCACACAATCAAGTAGGCTTCATTTTCTTGGGTGTGAGCTTCTTTGTACATGTCCTCTTTGATGGAGCCGGCTGTGAGCTTGATTCAGCAATATTCAACCTCCTTTTACATGTCACTTGTGAAGCAAGTGCCGGTTGTGAGCTTGTCCCTCCTTGTTCCATTAACATTGCAAGCCGGCTACAAGGAAATTGTTGTTGTTAAGCAAAAATACATCTAGGTTAATGTAATTGTAGTTGGTTGTACTAACTGTCTTGTCACAACTGTTGGGCTTTCTTGAATAATGGTTTCTACAGTAGGCCTAGTTGGGGTATGTGGTATAGGAGCAGGAGCAGCATGAGCAGCAGGAGCATCAGGAGCATCAGGAGTAGGGGCATAAACCACATCAGGACCATTAGGAGCAGGGGCATAAACCACATCTATCTAACCCCTTACTTCCAGCAAATCAATCGTGCAATCATGTCACTGAAAAAAAAATAGAGAAGTGCATACCTCCCAACAATCTGTAGCCAGGTGGAGTCATCCATGGAGTCAAACCCTAACCACACGTTGAGGGAGTGGAGGGCGGGAAGAGCTGACCGAGGGGCAGCGGCTGATGGGGGTGGCGGCGGTGGCGGCGGATGGGGGTGGCGGTGGCGGCGGAGGCGGATGGGGGCGGGGGAGGCGGATAGGGGCGGCGGCGCTGACTGGGGGAGGACGAGGTGAGGGAGTGGCAGGGGCGGGGGCCGGCGCCGGCGCCGGAGATGAAGCCGATGCGGAGGCACGCTGCTGTCGCCTCTGCCGATGCCGCTCCCAGCTTCTCCATCAGTCAACACCGGTGCTGGACGGCTGGAGAGATCGATTCGAACTGGTGATAAGGACACAAGGGTATTTTGGTCAGAACAAAACTTAAAATAGAGTAAAATCATTTCTAGCAAACAAAAAGATCCAAAATAGCATTTCAGTGAACACCCCTTAGTTTAGGATAGCATTTTAATGAATCACTTTGAAGGGATAGTATTCCAGCGAAACCATTCTTTTGCGATAGCAAAATCACAATTTTCTCCCGCCCGCACGCCCTAAACAAGTGGAGGGGTAAAACTGGGTTTTCGCATGGTCCGTTCTCGCTGAGTCCACACCGCTCATCTGGTCCTCCCCGACGCCCGCAAGCCGATTCTCCCGATCTCCTCCCCTTGAGGCACCTCCTCTGCATCCGTCCTCCATGGTGGAGGCGTGGCCAAGCTTGCGCGACCATCAAGCTAGCTGAACACCTCTACCTACCTCTCACTGTAACCTGCCGCCACCATTCCTGCTTCATCCCAACTCAACTCCCCCCTTTTTGCTCCTGGGCCAGATGTGGCCGACGCGGACGACCTTAATGCGATGACGAAGAGGCGGCCACGGCAACTAGCTCAGCGCGGCGGTGACTTCGGCGGGCCATGGGCTGATGTGTGGATGTCGCTCGACTAACCCCCAGATCCTCCCTCCTCCTTGGTAATTAGCACATTACGGTAAGATAATGGTCTGATGATTGCAGCATTTTGATCATCTGAGTATCTGACTTATCTTTGTCAGGATTTCAAAGTGAAGAGGCCACTAGTGTCCATTGCCTGGCTTCTTGCGTGGTTTATGTCTATGGTCAAGGTCCATTGCCAGGCCATCTCTCCTTACAAGGCAGCGGTAGCGCCGCGGCACACCGCAGCTGCCGCAGTGGGGTGCTGAAACATAAGGGGGTTGGGGAAGATGTTGAGGATGGATTTGAGGAGGATTCGAGTTAGGAATGAGATTGGAGTTTGACGAACACAGCACAACGCAACTTCAGTGCGACGGAAACGCACGGGCGCCCTTTGAAATCAGAGGATAGCCGCAGCCGCGGGAGGGGATGAAGTTAGCGCATGCGCATGACGGCATGAGACACCACAGGAGCGCTGCAGGTGGGAGCATCAGAGCTTTGCTTTTGCTTTGTTCCCTAATCCCTATCCTACCCCGGATGGATGAACGGTTGGATTTAAATCGGTACCTCAAGGTACAAAGTGCTGGACCGGAGTAATGCTCGCTCCCTCTCTCTCCTCCGTGGGAACGTTGGTGAGCAAAATGCTCGATCGCTGTATTCTGTGCAAGGTTGTTTGCACTTTGCACCAGAAAGCTGAGGCGATGGAGCCGCCGGCCCTCGCTAGTGGCATGCACACTTGTGTGTGATCACAAGGCACAAAGTTGCTATCTTAATTTCTGGAAGACAGGCTGGTAGTAGTGCTCACCCACGATACTTTCATGTCATATCACAGGACTTGATTAACGATAGCAAAGTCATCATGCGGCCATGAGCCGAAAGCCGAAAATCATGGCCCTTTAATTTGGAGCATATTATCGCATTGACTCGAGGTCGTCCTAGTCTTGGCGCCTATGCTACGCACAAAGCACAGCTAATAGAGCATAATCTTCAGCTTCTTAATTACTCACACTGTACAAAAAAAAATAAATAAAAAGAAATAAACCCCTGAAGTTTAATTCTTTTTGGACAGAGAAAATAGTTAGTTTGAATTGTAGGCGTACGTTTTGTCTGGACTTATTTGTACGGGTATGGCAATTAAGCTGGAGTCCCAAGCATGCAGTAACATACTACTCCGTTCCATTTTGTCCCTTGCTGGTTTATATATAAGAGCCGAATCATAATTTTCAACACTAGGTTTTTTTGCCTGATGAGCCCGAGCGTGTGCGTGAGTACTGCCTAATGGTTATTATCACTTGTTTTTTGCCCTTTGGTCGAGACTTAACTGAATGAGGAAAGGAACAAAAACCACCCCTCAAAACACGGAAAACGTAAAACAAAGTAGCAGAGTCAGCAGTAACCAGTAAGCAGTTAGCCAACATCCAATCCAACACACACGCTAATTAATGACGGGTTGATCTTCAGTTCAGTGGAGTTGATCTTCAGTTACCAAGTACCCTGACCTGGAGTGTGATCGAACCATACGGTGGTTAACTCCGATGTGCTGTTAAATGCCAGCAGATACAACTGTGTATTTGGAGAGATTGAGGATGTGCTGAGCTTTGTTCCCTCTGAATCTGCTGCATATGCTATGGACTCTCATGAAAACATCAGTTCCGAGCTGCGGAAAGGAGCAGGTGATTGTGAGTGAAACCATCAAAGATCATTGAAAATCAATAATGTAGCATACTGGATACAGCGTTTACTAAGATTTGAGAAACCAACCAGGTGTACCTTGCTATATCCATGCCGACCACACTAGTTTGACCTGATCAATCTCATTTCGGCCATGAAAAAAATCTTGTAAGTTGATCAAGGGCTTTGATTTTGCCACCTGATATTCACCCCCAACTGCTTGTCTTGCTAATGCAGCAGCTATATTAATAAATTGTCTGCAAATTGCACAAATAAAGTCAACACTTCCATTAGCGAAATTTCAGTTCGTCTGAACGGAAATCGTTACTATACGATGAAAGATTTGAGCACTAAGAAAAAGGGACGTCCTGATGATGATCATGTGAGAATCCTATAAGAAATGCGTTACAAGTTCGCCTTTTTGTGCAATCACAGTTGCTAAAATGTTCCTTTTTTTTTCTGTAGTACTATAACAGTGCTCTACTACCGCTATTATCACCAGTACAAGTGATCTCAACTATTAATTTATAAATTCTATTATCAATTGGTGAAGTGTTGGTATAAATAAATTTGACCGATTTGATTAGAAAAAATAGTCTATATTGAGCATTGTAAAACACCTTTTTAGGCATTTGAATGAATATTGATACAGTAATTAGTACTCCCTTCATACTCGTAAAAGAAGTCATTTGGACAGCGACACGGTCTCCAAAACATAACTTTGACTTATTGTTTCTATAAAAATATTTATTGAAAAGTGATATATATATATATATACTTTTATAAAAGTATTTTCAAGACAAATCTATTCATATAATTTTTACATTTTTCAAACTCAACAATTTGAGAGTTATTTATGATTTATATTCCCAAGGTTTGACTTAAACATTGTCCTAAACGATTTTCTTTATGAGTACGGAGAGAGTACAAGGATGCAAAGCAAAGTGAAATCTGTACTGAAAAGAGATACTGTATATGATTTTTTATGAATAGCAAGCGCAAAATAACATCACGCAAACGGCATGTTTCAACCGGGAAAAGAAAAGAGTGACAATGTAAAGTAGATGATTTTTTTTTAACTTTTCACCATAAAAGATTTCTCCGTAAAATATGGCATAGCTTGGTTGTGCACATACCTTTTTTTTTATGTGAGCGAGTTTCTTCTCGTTCTCATCAGATTGATACCACTGCCGTAATCCAGGGCACATATAAATACATAGATTTTCGAGATTAGTGAGTTGCTGTATACTCTCTGGCAATGAACTGATGCCCTTGCATCTATCAATTTTCAGTTCCTTGAGTGAATTGAGGTCGCCCATCCTTTCAGGCAGAGAGTGAATTCTGTGGCAAGCTTCCAATTCTAGTGACTGTAGGGAGGTGATGTTGCATAGTCTCTTGCAAATCATTCAGCTTTCCGCAATCCTTTATCGTCAACCATTTGAGAGAGGCAAGTTCTCCTAACCATTGTGGTAGCGATGTCATGCTATCGCATTGATACAGATGTAGTGATGTTAGTGAAGTGAGTTGCCTCATGCTCCCTTGCAAGTCCAGCAGATCAGGAAAGCCTTCTAAACTCAGGTGCTGTACACATGTGATCCCACCCAACAATCTTGGCTGCTCTGCCTGGTCGTCTTTTAGTTCTTTCAGAGAGTTGAGGTTGCCCATCCTTTCAGGTAGAGAAGGAGTTCTAACGCATTTTTCCAATGTTAGTGGCTGCAGGGAGGTGAGGTTGTCACACATTGTCTGTTGCAAATCATTCAGATTTTTGCGGTACCTCAATCTCAGGTTTTCGAGAGAGGTGAGTTCTAACCATTGTGGTAGTGACTCCATGATACTGCATCCATCCAGATTTAGTGACTGTAGCGAAGTAAGCTGCCTCATGTTCCCTTCCAAGTCCTTCAGCTTTTGAAAGCCTACTAAACTCAGGCCCTGTAGACATGTGAGCTCACCCAACCATCTTGGCAGTCCTTCTGCCTTTTCATTGTCTTCTAATATCAGTGATTTCAAGGAGGAGAGGGCTCGGATGATCTCCGGCGATGCGCTGCTAAGATCACCGCATCCATCGATATGTAAATGAAGAAGGGGAGGGAGGTGGCAAAGCAACACCCACTGATGCATAGGCACCAGCTTGCATAAATGGTCTGACAGGCAAGCCACTGCAGAAGAGGAGGAAGCAGAGGTGTGGCATCTCTCTACCCGTGATGATAGTACATTATCACTGAGTATTATTGTCCAGTTGCCAGCATTAGGTGGGCTCGATTTCAGCCTTACTTTGGGGCAGTCAGAAATTTCCATGTCTTGAAGCATAGGAAACATGACTTGTGTTTGAAGATCGTCCCTGAAATCCAGCTCTTCCAAGCTGTGCATAGCCCATAGGTGAAATCCTATCAGGCGAGGAAAAGCTCCCGGTCCACCATAGATGCCCTTGTCAATTCTTCTAATGCCATGCATACGTCCGAGAGTAATCTCTCCTAGGTTTGGTAACTGACCAAAAGGCGGCAGGCTGTTGCACTTCGGTAAATCCCACAAAGTAATACTGACGAGATTGGGGAGATGATGTCCAGTATTCATTACCCAGGATGGAAAGCTGATGCTCTATAACCCTCTATCACAAACTTCTTTAAAGTGTTTGGTGGTACCATCTCTCCCAATACATTCATGTCCTCCACAAACCTATCAGCTCCTCCAGTCCACTCCAAATTCAGAGAATTAATGCTTTCTTTTTCAATCAATTTTATACTCCGCGCCTCTTGTGTGGACTTCACATTTTCAAGCCTACTGAGCTCCAAAAATTCATCAAGAATTGCATGTTCAAGGAGAGGAAGATTGCTGCTAGATTGACCTTCACCGGTGTGCACCACAAAGTGGGGCAATGTGAAGAGGAAGTTGGATTGAGGAAGCTTGGCCTCAAACAATTTGCAGCCCATCACATTTAGAACCTTCAGACTTTCCTTTTTAGTCAAACATTCTGGAAGCCTTGCTAGCATGCTGGAACCTGAAAGGTTCAAGGTATGTAGCATCCTCAGGCTGCCAATACTTTCAGGTATACTACAGAGAATTTTATTCTTAGACAAGTCCAGATGTTCTAGATTGGAAAAAGTGCTGATGCTACCAATGAAACTGTCAGTTTGATCTGTTGATGGGCTGCCAAAGACATAATCCATGCACCGTGCTAAATTCAAGTATTTCAGATTTGTTAGACTGCCAATGACTTCTGGCAACCCTATGAGAGGTAACTTATCTTGATGGATTTCTCCATTCTGCAGTGACAAATTCAAATATTCGAGTTTGGCTAGGCCATGTAAAGCTTGAGGTATACCTAACAATGAACTACAACATGATAAATCCAGATGCACCAAATTTTTTAGCTTCTGAAAAGACCTTGGTAATTCTACTATCTTATCAGAACCTGATAAGCTCAAGTACTTGAGTTCCATGAGGCTACCCAAATCTTCCGGCAGACTATGGAGATCGGATTGCTGTGATGATAAGTTCAAATATTTAAGTTTGGTGAGGATGCCAAAAAATTCCACGCTAGGTAGAGATAGATTTGAATTGCATGAAAGGTTCAAATATTCCAGTTTGGTGAGGTTGCCAAGAAACTCCACATCTGGTAGTTTCAGATCTGAACTGCTAGACAGGGTTGGAAATTTCGGACCGAAATTTCCGAAATCATTTCGGTGACCCCCGATACGATATCAATTCGGCCGAAATTTTTGAATTTTTCAATTTTTTCATGAATTTGGATAATATTTGTTCAAATTCAACTAAATTTTGTTCAAAATTTCAGAAATTTCGGACCGAAATTTCCGAAATTTAGGGATTTCGGTGACCACCGATAGAAACACCTGGACCGATAGAGTGAACCCTGCTGCTAGATAGGTTCAAATTGATGCAGTTCCGTTAGAAACCCCAGGCACTGTGATAAACTTCGGGTACAAGAGCAATTTGAGAAATCGAGATGCACCAGTTTATTAAGCTTGCCAAACGACTCGGGCAGTTCTCGTATTCCTGAACAATTTGACTCTGGCAGTGCCACGATTTCATAAGACCCACGAAGGCTGAGGTACATTAATTTTATGAGCTTGCTGATGCAATTAAGGATCGTTTGATATTGGATCCCAGGGGCATTAAGATACCTCAGCTGCTTCAATTGACCAATATAATCTGGTAACTTTTGTATAGAGCAATCACTCAAATCCAAGACACGCAAAGACTTGCCAGAAGAAAATGCACCATCACTAAGACGGAATTCCCTACAGTTCGTAAAGCACAAAGCCCGTATCTTTGCTAGGTAACCTGTGGATGACTCCAATGGCTTGAAGCAATTACTGAGCAGTGCATAATGGTAACTGATTCCACCAGAGTTGTCTTGTTTGTTATCTAGTAAAATTTCATCGACCATTACCAATCTTGCTATATCATGCACTAAGTCATGCATGGTGAATAGAGTGACATCTTCATGATACAGTCCAGCAGTCTGCAAGAAACATCAGTTAGCAGCATGAAGATTTTATATTGGAATAAATAAATTGATTCCCCACCCCCTTAACTGATGGAAAGGGAGGGTGTGGGCAAGCTCATCAAATGTACTCACCAGAGGTGATTTTGAGAGTTGAAGGAAGGACAGTCCCAAGAGCTGCTTGATGTATCTCTCACTGAGCTGCCTAGTCGAGAATATGTTTGATTCCTCAATGAAACCCAAAGAAACCCATTGGTGGATCAGAGCATTTTTTACTATGTTATGACCTTTCGGAAAAATTAAAGTATATAGTTTAGAACTAATTAAAATTCGGAATTAAAAATTAGGAAAATTAAAAATAGAAGTCAGAGTCCACATCAAAATATAATTTACAATAACTAAAATTCAAATTAAGAAAAGCAAGATTGGGAGAAGAGTCTAGAGTCCATATAGGAATAAAATTTATAAATAACTAAAATTCAGAATTAAAAAATAAGAAATATTAGACAAAAAAAAAATCTAGAGTCCATATAGGAATACAATTTATAAATAACTAAAATTCAAAATTAAAAAAAAATACAAAGTATTGAAAAATGAAGTTAGAGTCCATATATAAATACAATTAGAAATAATGTATTGGGAATTAGAAAAATAGAAATATTGAAATAAGAGTCTAGAGTACATATAGGAATATAGAACTAACTTAAAGTCAGAATTAAAAAATAAGAAAAATTAAAAATAGAGTTAAGATTCCATATATAAATACAATATAGAACAACAAAATACAAAATTTAAAAAATAAGCAAGATTGGGAGAAGAGTCTAGCGTCCATATAGAAATGCAATTTATAAATATCTGAAATTAGGAATTAACAAATAAGGAATATTGAAAAAATAATCTAGAGTCCATATAGAATAAAATTTATAAATAACTAAAATTTAAAAAATTAGAAATATTGGAAACAAATCTAGAGTCCATATAGGAATCCAATTTAACAATAACGGAAATTCAAAATTATAAAATAAGGAATGTTGAAAGAAGAGTTTAAAGTACATATAGAAACACAATTTACAAATAACTAAAATTCGGAATTAAGAAAATTGAATATGTGAAGAAGTGTCCAGAGTTCATATAGGAATAAAATTTATCAATAATAAAATTCGGAATTAAATAATTAAAAATATTGAAAGATGAGTCTAAAGTCCATATAGAAATACAATCTATAAATAACTAAAATTTGAAATTAAAATAATTAATAACTATTACGTATATACAATACAATATGAATATCACACAGTTGTTAGTTTGATCAAGAATTTAAATTATGTTGCCATTTTAATGTATTTAAGAAAATGTGAATATATTTAAGCTATTATATGAGAAAAATATAACGGTGCTAGCCGCGCAATTTGCGCGGGCCACCATGCTAGTTTAATCTAAAGTAAAGTAAAGCAAGCGAGTGGCACCCCTCTCCATTACGTTTTCATTTGGGTACTGTAGTAATGTAGTTCACCTGAGTACGGACTACGGAGTACCTATCTGTGAGAAAATCTGCTTTCCCAGATCTGCCGCCATGGCCGACGGACGGCGTCGAAGGCTTCGAGTAGGAAACGTTGGATGTGGCCTAGAAGGAGCACCTGGAGGCTGGAGGAGCGACACCAAGCACACCATCCACCTCGAGGGGCGGCGTCCATTGACCGCCGGGAGGAGGGTAAGGCCGAAGACCTGCGTCCTACGATGAGGAACCCGACACCGGCGACCACCACCGGTGGCAACCCAGACCCAGAGCCAGAGGTAGGATATGGGAGGAACAGGGGATGGGGAGACCGGGAGAGGGGCTGGATCAGCGGCTCTCGCTTCACCCCCGAGGCCCATAAACTATTTTTTTTCTCTGATTTCACTTTATTGCTTACACCGTGTTTAGATTCAAAATTTTTCTTCAAACTTTCAACTTTTTATCACATCAAAACATTCCTACACACATAAACTTCAAACTTTTCCGTCACATCGTTCTAATTTCAACCAAATTTCCAATTTTAGCGTGAACTAAACACAGCCTTAATAGCATTTTTTTTCTTGGTTTCTCTTCATATGGGTAGTAATTTAAGTTGAAATTTCGTGGAGCCATTGATGACACCGTTTATCAAAGATCCAAAATATTTTCAATTTCATGACTATTTGCTTAGAAATTCAAAACCTATGTATTTAAATCAGTCTGAGTGCGTCAAACCTATGTAAGCAGTGATAAAGGGAACTCTAACAAACGTCGAGTTACTCTGCATCTAGCAATGCTATAAAATTTCATTGCAAAATACAGTTCATATAGAGTGAATGAAAAAGAGAAATGCCTTTCACTACTAGAAAACTCATTTTCGGAGTCGTAGGGGATCGATTTTCGTAGGCGGGCATGTAATTTGGAGCCAAAACCCCGCCGGCAAAAAAAAGTACCCGGGATGGAGGGGGCGGTCCGCCTGCAAAGATGCCCCTATATAGTTTTCTTCCTCCCCGAGCCCTGTTCATTCTCCCCGACGTTTCTCTCTCCTAAAGTGACTTAAACATAGGGGGGAGGTTTTGAACTTCAAATCTTCGGGGGATTTTTCTACGGTACTTAGATCTACTCATATCCACACTAGGTAATTTTTAGACCTTAATTTGTGATGGATTTATGCATCCAAAATTGTGAAGGAAGAGCTCCATGTTTTTTTAATTTTATTTCTTTTCATATGTTGATATTAGATGTATGTGTAATACTTGATGCATCTTGTTGTAGTGGTTTAATGTGGTAACATAAATTCTCAATTTTTTTTATTTTTACTATCACATCCACCACCTAGTTCTAGATCTAGATCTAGATCTGGTCATATATAGAGAGAGAATAAAATTTTAAATGTCTATTTATTCGGTGCAATCAAAAAATAGTTATAGTATTTTGTAATATGCCGAAGCTATGATTTTGTTAGATTTTCCTAATGTACTAATTTGGCATGTCTGTGTAAAAAAAATTGAAATAAACTATGATTTTGTATTACTTTACACTTAACCTTTAGTTAATTAGTTTTGAATAGCGATAAGTTTTTTCAATAAACCCTACAAATTTGGTATTAATTGTGCAAATATTTTACGTGTATTTTTTTAGAGATATGGAAAGTCGGGAATGGATGTATCATTGACCGAGGTTTTTGTCTCTATATAGAAACGAAGTGGCTAAATTTATTGGTATTGCCAAGGCACACGCTGAGAAGAACAAGGAAGATAATTTGTCCATGTGCTGACTGTAAGAATGAAATAGCCTGGGACTTGGACGATGCTTTTAAAGTGAAGGAGCACTTAGTAACTCGTGGATTTATGGACAAGTACGAAATATGGACACGTCATGGCGAAGAACAAGTGGACGGGCCTGAAAATGTAGTTTCGACACAAGTTGAAGACATGGTGCATGACGATGGTTCTGTTGAGGACAAAATCGACCTAGAGAAAATGTTATGTCATGCAGAACCCGAGGTGCTGATGGGGTCGGCTAGAGGGCTAAATAACTTTGAAGCTTTACAGAAGGCAGCAAAGGAAGTTTTGTACGATGAGTCGAAGGGCTGTGACAGTGAGTTCACAACACTCCGGTCAGTTCTTGAACTTATGAGGTTAAAGGCGAGACATGGATGGTTTGATACCAGTTTCGACAGTCTGTTAGAACTTCTACAGAAAATGTTACCGAGGCCTAACTCACTACCATCCAGCACATATCAAGAAAAGAAACTCATATGCCCCCTTTCACTTGGTGTGGAAAAGATTCATGCGTGCGTAAATCACTGCATACTGTACAGGAAAGAGTACGCTTCTTTGGATGAATGTCCAACATGCGGTGCAAGCCGGTACAAGTCGAATAGCAATACTGGCCTAGAACCCTCTGAAGCAACTGAGGGACGACAGAGAAAAATCCCGCAGCTTGTGATGTGGTACCTTCCTGTCAAAGACCGCATTAAACGGATATACTCAAACCCGCGAGATGCGGAACTAATGCGCTGGCATGAAGAAGGGTGCAAGAAGGATGGGATGATTCGACACCCGGCAGATGCTCGTCAGTGGATAAACTTTGATGCTCAGTATAGAGAGTTTGCTAAAGACCCACAGAACATTAGATTTGCCCTGAGTACTGATGGAGTTAATCCTTTTGGAGACATGAGCAGTTCACATAGTACTTGGCCAGTGCTTCTCACCATGTATAATCTTTCTACCTGGCTTTGTCAAAAGCGAAAATACGTACTACTCTGTATCCTCATACAGGGACCCCGTCAGCCTGGTATTGATATAGACGTATTTCTTGAACCATTGTTGGAAGATATGGCTGATTTATGGAAAGAGGGATTGAAAGTGTGGGACGAGTACTTAAGGGAATACTTCACAGTGAAGGCTATCATCTTCGTGACCATTAACGATTATCCAGTAATGTTTTCAGTTTCAGGTCAAATTAAAGGTAAAACAGGATGTGTGATCTGCTTGAATGGAACGTACTATAGGTATCTCCCGGGTTCCAACAAGCTTGTGTACATGCAGCACCGGCGGTTCCTACGCACAAATCACAAGTACCGCAAGATGAAGGCGGAGTTCGATGGTACTGAAGAGACTAATCCTGCACCGAAACCTACATCGGGAGAAAAGGTGTGTGCAATGACAGAGAAAATTGTTTGCAAGTTTGGAAAAATGACTAAGAAACCATCAAAGGGGACAAAGCGCAAGAAACCCGAGAAGAATACGAAGGGAGGGGATAGTAAGAAGCAAGATGACAGTTCGAAGCCAGATGATAAACTCCCTCCCCCATTCAAGAAACATTCCATATTTTTTAAGTACCTCCCGTACTGGAAAGATCTAGAGGATCGGCATGCCATAGACGTTATGCATCTAGAGAAGAATGTGTTTGACAACATAGTTGGAACATTGTTGGACATGCCGAAGAAGACTAAAGATGGTCTGCAATCAAGGATGGACCTAGTCGAGATAGGAATCAGGGAAGAGTTACACCCTCAAGAAGGAGA